AGTCCGGTTTCAAACAGTCCGGGTTTCTGGAGGAACCGATTGCCCGGACTGTGCGAGGTATTGCTGTGCACCTTTTATGTAGCGAACACTGTCTTGTTCTTCAACACAGACGTGTCAACCTGCAATTGAGTCGTGTTACGAATGGAAAAATTATGATTAGCAATATCTAGAACAAGACGATAAGGACAACCCGGAACTAAAAAAAAAAACGCCTTCGTCAGTAATAGGAAGCGGCCTTGTAGTTATCCCCTTCACTTCACCGAGTGTTTCAGATCAGGGGTGTACACAATCTGCTTCCCATGAGGCCGCGCCATAGCTCAAGCGGTTAGTTTCTGGCTTCCAACCGCGGCGGCCAGGGTCTGGTCAAGTGGGATTTGTGGTGGACAATGTGGCGCTGGGGCGGGTTTTCTCCGAGTACCTCGGTTTCCCCTGTCAGTCTTCATTCGACGAAATTCTCCATCATCATAACCACCGAGGGCAGGCTGCAATAGGCCAATCAGTGACCGCCGTGCCGAGTGGACCCAGTTGGACCTCACCCCCCCCACTAAGCAAATCTGCTTCCACGTCGAATCTTATAACTGAGCACCTGTCACATATTCGGGAGGAACCACTTTCGAATCCCAGTGGAGTGCCCAATCTCCTGACCTGTTTCATTTGTTTCCTTCGTATCTGCACTGAAGCTGGCCAGAACTGAAATTCGGTAGCAGGCTCACTTCTGCTTTACATTCAGGAGATCCTGGATTCAGATCTATGCTCAGATATCGCTGTCACGACTGAGGATTTTCGTGGTTGTCCTCATTCTCTCCAGCAGATGCAGGAATGATTCCTCAAATGAGGTCACGACTGCTTCCTTCTCTATCTTTCCCACTTCATTATTCACTTTTCGATATGTCTAAATGGTAGACCGGGTCTGCGGTCTAGTGGTCAGAGTTCCTGGCTACAGATCAAGAGGTCCCGGGTTCAATTCCCGGCGCTACCAGATTTTCTTGAGAAGTAGTGGGTCTCAAACGGGGTCCACTCAGCCTCGTGATGATATTTGAAGAGATATTTCAAGGAAATAGAGGCACCGGTTTAGAAAACCAAGATTAACCGTCGTGGGGATCCGTTGCGTTGATCACGCGACGCCCTCTATCTGTTAAAGTTGGCACTAACTTCTCCGGCAAGCGGCGGTCTATCGGTCGGTGTAGCACGCTTGCGGACTCAAGCAACGGAGTTTTTTTTTTTTGTTTGAGCTGTATGATATGAGCCACTGACAACATCGTTAAATAAATCATAACAACTACTCCAGTTCCTCTCCTGACCCTCTAATAACTACAGCCCATTTCACCTTCCATATACAGTATAACGACGCCGCATCATCACGTTGTAAACTTAGACCGTGAATGTGGAGGCAGATTTTCCGTTCGAAGCACTGGTACAGATCTACCAGACTACAAGCCGTCACACCCAGGAGATAATACGCTTGTTTCCCCATTATTATTTACATTAGCAAGCAGTTTGCAGAGTTTTGAAATGAGAACTCTTTTACTGAGGCGGGGAAACACAAAGGAAGTTAAAGGATTTAGGACACGCGAACAGACGTAGGACAGCAGCGCCTAACATACGTGTTTAGTAAAGAACATTATAATTTGCCCACGACTGTTAAAGTAGTTAAATAAATACTACAAGAAAATTGATAATGTAACTATGATAAGTAAAACAAGAAAACGTACATACACTCGTATCTGGTTAACAACAACTCGTAAGACAAGTTCTCAGGATACGCATGGGTGGGTGAGGTAATGCTCGAATAAAAATTAAAATAAATAAAATGTGGGGATATAAAGTGTACTCAATTAGGATACCCGTTCCGATATTACTAACGAGATATCTCGAATGGAATTGCAGCTTCTCTTGTACAGATTTACTCTGGGTTTGAAAAATAAAGCGAAAATTCTGTGTTCCGCCATTTCGAAACCTTTAAAATTTACTCTTCGTTATTTTTCAACAGTAAAGAATTATGTGTAACCATAAGAACATATAGAATTACTGGGTTTTTGGATTTGTTCCAATGCCAAGAATTCTAGGAAATAGAAAACACGAATATTCAATTTCCGAAACGTCGTGCTTTCTATTACATAGAATTCCGGACGATGAAAAAAAAAAGTAATTCTGTGTGTTATCCACCATCGTCAGAACCTTTTAAAATCTACATGAGAACGTATTTTAAGAAAAAGAAGAAAGGTTCTTTGCAGAAAGATCAGTATGCAATTTATCATGCGTGAATATTGTCAACTATTAAGGGTTTGCGTGACGAATATATGCGTTCTGGATTGGATGATTAGATTTACTGGCACTTCTGTTACAATTACAACCAGTTATAACGACACATACTCAATGGCTGCTTACGGCCCGCTCCATTCCTTGCTGGACTACGAGTGCCTTCTCTTACACTGTGGCGAATGACGAACCAAGGTCTCCTCACTGACACATTGAACTCCCTCAATAGTCGAGTCTTATGTTGCGAGCGACGGTCAGTCGGCCAGTCTGCCTTGGAATATAGCACCCATCTGGGGCTTACGAGCCGATTGTTATTACTGTCAGACAGGTGAGGGTTTTACCGGTTCTCACGGTATCTTCGCTTGCAGATTTCTTATATTTTTTCTTCTACCCTGAAGATGGAGGCGATAGGTTCCTCCGAAACGTCGGTTAACACCACATATACATGGTGCCAAATCCCAGATGACTGCTTTCTTCATAGTCACCGCCGTGAAAGCCTCAAATCTTACAAGTGAGGGTTTGTTGATGTGGGGCACTCTCTCTGACGAGAGGATGTGCCTGGCGTTTACAATTACTGATGGCTCTCGTCAGTGCAGTCATTTTTGAGTCCGAGTCCAGTGGGACCGTATTTTACTATCTCAGACTCCATAATACCTTTTCGTCACCTCATACCACTCGCAAGGATACGGTGGAATGGATTACGACCCTTTTATAACTTCCATGTGACCCAAATATAGATTACCAGTTCGAGCATTTGGCGTTATTCTGTTTTTTCCTTCGTTATTACGAGAACGTGCTTACCAAACCGTTGCCTAGCAAATGGATTATTCCGTGTATATTCGTTGCAATGGGAATGTTCTTACCGAAACGTTGCCTAGCAATGACTTCTGTTCTATATCAGTTCTTCAGGCTTTCAGACGTTATATCACAATATTATCCCCCCCCCCAGAAATTGTACCTTTCTTCTTTGCAAAACGTAAATCTAAAACCGGCATTTCTGGTTATTCGGACTTCGTCCGCCGTTCGGTATTATGAAGAACACTAAAGAACATGACTTCCAGTGGTTCGGGTTAGCTTTCCTGACGGACCCAAAACAGTACGTGTCTCCCATCCACTCATTTGAGGACAGAAACTAGTTTAGTTTCCGAAACGTTGTATTCTTTAGTGTTCTTTAGAATACCTAACGATAGACAAAGTCCAAAACCACCAACAATCCTGAGTGTTAATCATCATAGTCAGGCCCCTTCAGAGTCTACATCAGTCTACAACAAGCCGTGTACTGTCCGCTATGTGGCCAACACTTTCCATATCCCTCGAGAAGCAACAAAATGGCGTGGGAACATCAATGTACTCGAAGTGGCAGCCTGCCACGTGCAGTCTCTGATGGCAGCCAAATTTCAGCTTCGGGTCTTACAGAAAATTCCTATTTTTATCCTACGTGAATTGCTATACTGCAGGATGATGCAATGTTGAGCAAAAAGGCTTTGTCTTCCGAGCTAAGCCAAGTCAACAGAACACACAATAAGCTAACCTGGATACAGATAGTGAAACCAATTTTTTTGTAATATGTTTACATTGTCTGTATAACCGCTGCTATCTCCAAGCAGGCTACACGCAGGTTATACAGACAACTGGAAGAATTACCTGCCAACAAACGTAATTAATTAATTAACACTTCGCAGCATTAAGAACAAAAAATCTTGGAACGTACAAATCCTACCGTCGGACATGATACGACAATTTATTACATGAATGATATCCAGGGCATGAGTAGTGCACATTAGCCTAGGTGTCCAAGGAAAGAATTTATGTCACGTTCTCAGAGGAAGCAGCATTCCATGTATCTTAGAACGTAAGAAATTTCTCACACTCTCTAAGAGCATGTTGGAGGGAGTCCAGAAGTGAACGTCTGATGTGGGCTGTGGCACTGTTGGGGGCACGGTATTTGCAATAAACCTGAACAATAAAATACGTATATATACTCGTATATTATTCTGCTTGGGTAATTTGAACGGTGAATTTGTCCCTTTGCTTAATTAAACACCATGCAAAGAAGACGTGTGGACGAGTGAAGGCATAGCTCCATACATTCTTAACCTCAACATTAACGGAGGTAAATGGCCAGCTTAACGCTCCGGTCGCTTTATCCCAGGGAAAGAGTCCCCGATACACAATATATATACAGCTGGGTGGGCCCCGGAACCAGTTTGGGTGGCTGGAGAAGAGAAAATCTCTACTTGTGAACAGGGTTCAAACATCGATGCCTTGGTCGTTATGTGGGACATTTTAAAATATACGACATTATTTCCAAAATACAAGGGAATAAATTTAATACGTTTTAGCGGAATGTCTCGATTATGATTAGTTTTGTAACAGCAGATTTCTATGTACAATTAGTCAAGACCATTGCCAATGAATGAAGAGTACAATTTCAACAATTGTAACCGAGTCCTTTCATTGGACCTTAATGAAACGGTTAGCCTAGAGGTAACGCTTTAGTCTTCGGTTCGAAACTCGGCTGGGACACCGGCTATCCTGACAAGGGATTCTCATGTGTTTCCTCATTTCCATGCTAACTTGATATGTTCACTACCACTTCCTTCGAAATCCTTTGCAGTTTATCATTCATCTCTATCCAGACGCTACATAGTTTTCATCGTTAATGACCCACTAAGAGAAAGTAGGCCTTGTTCCAGAACACACTCAGTAGTTCTTACCATCAGTTATTGTTATTGTGGCAGGTGCTGGCCACCATGGCGTGCAACTTGGTGGCACTGAACGTTATCATCACCCTGGCCTTCTCAACAGTAGCGATTGCACAGCTGTATCTTGCGGAAGGTGACCTCTCGCTGGACAGCGTCCAGGCTTCTTGGATTGGTACGTAAGTTCCCTGAACATAGCTCGGTGTCAATTCTTGGGACTTTTCTGGGATCTAAGATCATTTAACTGACGTTTCGTCTTCAAAAAGAAAAAAAAAAATAAGGAGCCCCATATGTCTTCCTATGTTTTGTGAGTGTTTGTTTACGCGCCACCATCACCAACTCTATTCGTCCCCTAACGTTTTGGAGTGATCTACTAACTCAGTCTTCAGGATAGAATGATAAGCCCCGGCTTCTTCTTCTATACTGAAGATGGAAGTAGCTGGTTCCTCCGAAATGTTTGTAATTCTCTACCACATTTATATGACGATATATCTCAGAAGGAATAATCTTCAAAACTTGTAACTTTCATATTTCCATCCCTTCGTCTTCATATAACCTGCTTCTGACAATGCCAACTTAAACCGGAAGTCCTACTAATTCTGTCATCTGTGCATATTGTACTACAGTCTTCTCTGTCTACAGCTTAATCTTGTTCTGCATTAGCAGCGTACGTCGGTATATCGCCTATCACTTGTGGTCTGTTTGAATGCTTTGCAGCCAGCATCCCGTACGTCTGCCAGCCCGTGGGTAGCATCATGTCGGGGCTCATTGTGCAGCTGTTGGGCCGAAAGTTCTCCCTGATGCTAGTCAACGCACCTTTCCTCATCGGCTGGATGCTGGTCTGTACTGCAAAATCTTTCGAGCAGTTCGTCGCAGCACAAGTCATCCTCGGCGTCACCATCGGACTGTGCGAAGCGCCGCTCAACACGTACTACGGCGAGATAAGCCAGCCGGAGCTACGGGGCATCCTGGCGGGAACAGCGGGTAAGAAAGGAAGGAAACACTGACTGGAAGAGCGGGTTTGAGATGAAGGAACTCTCAAGGCCATGGAAAGTATATGGGTATTGTGAGAAATTCTGTTACAAAGGAGTAGTTAATTAAATCTTAGGAACTCCCTGACAACAAAAAGGGGAAAGGTCTGGGATTATTCCGGTGCTCGTAAAACCTTACGGAACTGACACAGATCACTCTGACACAAGTATCTACAGCCCTCATTTCGAAAATCTGTTTCCGTTCTTGATACGGAAGCCAATATGCACCTAAATTCTGACAGTGTCAGCTTCATGACATAACACTACATACCGATCACTTCGTAAAAAGGTAAAGTTGTCCCTGTACTTAACTAATTAAGCACTACATCATGAAGGCGTATGGGGAGTGGGTGTATAGATCCATATTTTCTTGGCCTCGGCACTAGTTGGAGATGAGTGGTCAGCTTTACTTCCCGGCTGTTTTACCCCCTGGGCAAAAGCCCCTGGTACCAATTGGATAGGAGGTTGGGTGGACCCCAGAGCCGGTTTGGACGACGTGGAAAAGAGAAAATTCTTGACTTTATCGGGACTTGAACTCCGACCTCGTCCAGCCGGTTCCAGTCGCTATACCGACTACGCTATCCCGGCTCACCACCACTTCATAAAATAGAACAAAATATAAGTTAAACCGAAATATACAGACGAATATTTCTTCTAAACTCAATAATTGTCCTTTTATGAAATAAACACATATCGGCTTTTGTCTCATGTACGTGTTCGGCAGGCATAGTGGCGAATTTCTTAAGCATAAATAAATAGCACTACTTCCGAAATATACGCCACCCCAAACTCCATATTAGCGGGCTGGATTTAAATCTCCTGATCCAAAGCTTAATATAAATGTTACTCATAGCATGCTGGATCGAAAATTGTAAATTTCTTTCTGCCAGATACAGGGATATAAGTCAGGGCGATCAAACCTCATACAGCCTTCCCAGTTCATAAGAGCAATGAGTTGTCCACAGGGGTATCCTACCAGTCGGGCTTCTTCCTGGAGTACCTGCTGGGAACAGTGACCCACTGGCGCACTGTGGCCATCGTCAATGCGGTCTTCCCTGTTGTCACTGTCATTTACCTCAGCCAGGTAAGTGCTTTACACTGCGACTTCATACTGAGTATATGACAGTAAGGTGGAGCTAGCCTGTAACAGGCCGTGGAGACCTATAGAGTTGTGAGCCGTCGAGGCTCCCACATTTTCTAAACAATTGGCTCACAGATGGTGGCGAGGTGGTCAGCCTTACGCACCGGCCGCCCATTACCTGTAGGAAGATTCCTGGTACTCATTTCTGTTAGAGGTTCAGTCAACCGCGGGACTGTAATGCGGTTATGGAAGGATATGGCAAATTGAAAATAATCCAATGACATCGGAAATCGAACTCGGGACTTTCCGGTTTGTAGCATAGTGCCTCAACCAACTACGCTACCGCGTACCCCCCCCATATATGACAGTAAATGTAAGAATTGTGTATCATTCATGAGTCCGCCTCCGGAAGCACCCGAATTCCTTAGCGACGCACCTCTACGATGAAGAAGAAGTCAGGAGGCTTCACAGATTCAAACCGTCAGAACTGTTAACCAGATTTGCTAACTAATTTTGTAAAGATTTGCTATTTAATTTTGTAAAACAGACTATAATTAGTTAAATTACATATAGAACGAGTTCATTGGAACACGTTCATCATGTTAAATTACATTTACACTCATCATAACTAGCACTTATTATCCATAATAGCTGGATAGATTGTATAATAAATTGGAGAGAAAAAAAAATTCATGAGTCCAAATACAGTGGTTCACCAGTTATTATAGCCGAATAGAAAAGCAAAATACATAAGTGCATAGTCAAATGCACAACCTAATAAAATAAACATACATATTAGGAAGCGACAAGATTTTCTTTGAGCTCACGCTCAGTAAATGATTCCATTTAAAGGTACCCGATGCTCCAATTTGGCTGTTATCGAAGGGGAGAACTCGAGACGCCGAAAAAGCATTATGCTGGCTTAGAGGTTGGGTGAAACCGGCCGCCGTTAAAGAAGAGTTCTCACAGCTTGTTCGTTACAACGAAGAAACGAAGAAGAAGGCCGCACTGCGAACGTTACAGGAAGCAGAACAACCGGAAGCAGACACACTTCTGGACTGGTCGGGACATCAGGCCAACGGCAAAGCGCCAGGAGCACCACGTTGGAACTGTCTGCATACAGCACGGGACCTGTTTCGTCCTCCGACTCTGAGGCCGCTGTCGCTTGTGATACCGTTCTTCTTCTTCGTCCACTGGTCAGGGATGACAGCAATCAGGCCCTATATGGTACACGTATTCGAAAGCTTCCACGTGCCCATCGATCCAAATTGGGCCACAGTGAGTTCCAACCTACTGTATAGTTAATTGAGACTTGAGTTTCTCCAGGCATCAGATTTACTCTTCCTCTTCTTTTGATTACTATCTTCTTTCTTTGCCTTCCCTTTTTCTTAATTCAATATGCAATTAATAGACGACTGTTATGCGCAAAATGTCCTCAGTTATCTGCCTTGAAAGCATTAACGCTTGATATTCCTGCTCCTATTGTAATGCTTATCCGTTCTGGAGAATTTATTTTTATTCTGTCGTTAATGGCCCTCACGTCAGTTAATTTTACAGTATTATAGTGACTGCTATGTGGCCAGAGCTTTCCATATTTGTTGGAGAGTATTAAAGTGGGCTGGGCACTGTCCCACAATCCAAATGGCCGCCTGCCAACTCCAGCCTCTGATATCTGCATAATTTCAATATCAGATCTTGTAGAAACATTCGATTTTTATGCAACATGAATTTCTGGTGTAGGACGAAGCAATGCGGAGTAGGCAGGACTTGTCTGTCGAGCTAACCCCACTTAACAAAACAAATACGTCATACAGAGTCGAAGTGGGCTGTGACTAAATTTGAAAAGTGGGGAAGGTGCAAATGAATGTGGCCGTGGTCAACTTTAATACATCATTTGTAACAACAACCCTCAGACACGGCGGGCCTGGAACTTCTGGAGTGGTAACTACCTATTTTGGTGATCTTCTAGGTGGTGTCGGCTGGCACAGGAATCCTGGGCTCCATGTGTTTGCTGCTGCTGGTACATTCGGCCGGAAAGCGTTTCCTGTCACTTTGCTGCACCTCTCTGTGCTTCGTGGCCTGCCTCCTTCTCGGACTATACGCCTTCATGGTGCCCGGAGTTCCGGATCCTGTGGTGCAATGGCTACCACTCATGCTCTTCATCGTCTTGTCCTTCGCGCAGAGCATTGTCAGCCAGATGCCGTGGACGCTGCTGTGTGAGGTCTTCCCCTTCAGGACGCGCGGTCTTGCCAGTGGCATCACGGCCGCCGCCTGCTACGTGTTCCTGTTCCTCGCCTCTAAAACGTACCTGGACATCGAGCATGGCCTTCAGCTGCATGGAGCCTTCTGGTTCTACAGTGGGGTCAGCTTCTTTGGGTTTCTGTTCCTGTATTTCCGCCTTGTGGAGACGGAGGGCAAGACATTGGAAGAGATCGAGCATCACTTTACGCGAGGGCGAAGCGCCAGGGGAAACAAATAATTGAGCAACTGGAAACTAAAACTGGATAATAGCCCAAATGTGGTCAATGTGAACATGAAATACGGCTGTATGAGGCCTCTAGTTCACACCAAATTCATGGGTGCAAAGGAAAATGTTCAAATTACTGTTCTTCCAAAGACGTATGAAAATTCTTACGACCCTAAGATCCGTTCGTCATATAACATAGAAAATAATTGTATGTTCCATTTTATTTCTTTCAGACTTAAGAATTCAATGAAGAGGTCCATTAGTACAAAGTGGAAAATAGGATTCAGAGATCGAAACCAAGGAGGGACAAGAATATTTGTTCTTCTCCATAGTGTCCAGACCGCTCATCTTCCTGCACAGTGAGAAATGGAGACCCTTTCCCCCCGGTAGCAGAGCGGCAAGGGTGTGAAATTTACCAGTTGCCTCCATGTAGTGCCGAGAATAAGAATTCGTGGAGTTATGCCTCCACTCTCCCTAGTTCTATATGGCCCTTTCTCATTAAGCACCGGCGCATTTTTGTCCTTACTTTACATATAATGTAACAGTTCTAGTATGTTCGATTTCGTTGTTCAGTTACCTTGAAAAGCGTGTTGTTCTACGTAGAAGATGACTATTATTGTTGTTCAACTAAATCCAAAGTTGGAATGTGTCGACAAAGTTTAACAAAACTCCCAAATATCAAATTTCATGGAAAATTGTTTCATTGGTTTTCGAGTTGTTACATGTGGACAGACACGGACAGACATGTAGAAATTATTACGCACATTTCTGCAAATTTTCAATGCCAACACAACGAAAATGACACATAAATATCACAAAAGCTCTTACGCAACGCGACACATGGAAATATGAACGAACGGGAAGGAAGTCAACTGGAGCATCTCATGAAAAATTGGTGATGCTGCTCTTGAGGCATGGAAAGATGTATCAGAGAAGAATGAATGTGAGGAGTGTGAGGATCGTCTGAAGTTCCTAATTATTTTATTAATACAAACAACATATCCTAATTTCTTTGTTGTATTACGAAATGATGTTTTATACATTTATTATTAAATAAATATTATCACATGTATAAATCCGTTTGCCGTGAATTTACACTCACAGATATTACGACATTTTTTCTCTATTCTTGCCAATATGCAGAGTGCCTATGGCTATTAAAGGGGTGTGCAAGTGTTGCTTATTATTAGAATTCTCGTTTCCAAATTTATTACATATTTACTCAGCGGCCTGTAGAGTGCAAGCGAACTATACCGACCGAGCGACCGCCGCTTTTCGGCGAAGTTAGTGCCATCCTTAGCGGATAGAGGTGTCACGTGGTCAGCGCAATCTCGGTTTTCTAGGCCGGAGCCCCTATTTCCTTGAAATAGCTCCTCAATTATCCTCACGAGGCTGAGTGGATCCCGTTCCAGACTCACTACTTCTCAGAAAATTTGGTAGCGCCGGGAATCGAACCCGGGACCTCTAGGTCTGTAGCCGGGAACTCTGACCACTAGACCACAGAGGTGATCACATAAGTATATTTAAATTTCTTAATTTGGGCCTTATTTACGCTTCATAATTTAAGTTATTATAGGCCTATAGACGAATATTATAACATGATACTAACGAAGCAATCATATTCTGGGTGACAAATTTTACTTAATTTATATCTAATTAGCATTTGATTTGTTTCATTCTGGTCCGTCACACTAACAATATCATGAAAAGTTAAACGGTTCCGTCTAGTGTGACTGGCGGAGATATTTATTTTAATTATTCTTTCCCGTACAAGTTTCCGTCTTCAGAGACCATCATCAGAGGGACACCTTTACATCAATACAGTTGGAAGTCACTATTACAATATATGTTCTGAACGATAAAATATATACATATAATGTTAATAATGTACAATTGGGTATAAAATCTAAATTTTTTACAACTACAGCGGCTGTTCCAATACATTAAAATATTTGTAATAGGTTTGTTACTATTTTACTGGAACTTATAAACCAAGTAGTTTCGTGTCCTTTTTCTTTCTATTTCTCTTGCCGGGGGCCGAACGTGTGCCGCCTTGTTCTCGAGAAGAGGGTTCTTTGATGTTATCCTGTATGTGTTTGTGAAAATTCTGCGGCTACTCAAGAATTTCCCAGCATTTTATGGAACCCAAAGGTTCACCCTCACCTGTCATCTGGGGCTATGACAATAGGCCAGAAGTGGCCGCAGTACAAGGCACTTAGTCCCACCTCACTAGCAATAAAAAAAAGCCAGCAAACAACGTTTGACACCCCAGGAACTTAATTGGAGGTTATCCATAATACATTTCTTATGACAAGGAGTCAAGAACACGAAGAGTAATAAAAGAGGTCAGTGTCACTTCATCGCTGTCAAATTCAAGGGAAAATGTACGCAGCTGCGACACACATATGTGTCAGTAACTGGGCTGAGTTTCTGAGTGGATTAAATCAGAAGGTAATATGTTGATTTGCAGTGAAGAACTACCGGGTTCGAGTATAGACACTTCTAGGGAGTTACATGGTTTTAATCCTCCCTCCTGCGTAAAAACAGTGAAGAGTTTTTGAAACAGAGTGCATATATTTCCTCAGCAGTCATTTCTAACTCACCTCATTCCCTCATTTCTGGCGATTCTCGATCGACGTGTTCTTCAACGAAGACGTATCAGCTGCAGAGGTTAGTAAGCCAGCTATCTTTCATTACTTGCATAACACCTGACGAATTTTCAACAGGAAATTATCGCGGTTATCAGGACTTTGATATTTGGACACTGCACATATTTCATTGTCATCGACGCTTATATGTTATAGCCCTTGGGGTGCATTTCGAGATTAGAATGTCAGTCAATATGCCTACTATGAAACTGATAGGGTATTCATGCCAGTCGAAAAATATATAATACGAAGTTACAATAATGTCACCAAATAAAATCTGAACTAATAATTGAGTCACTGAACAGTGTATCAAGCATTGTGCTTTGATTCAAAAGTATATATATGGTCTCTGAACAAATCACTTGGAGCTTGAAATAAACAAAAGGCTGTTCGATATACTACCGTTTGGGAGTTACGAGAGTTCAGAATTCTGGCCTTTACCCTCTTTCATTTTCGTGTGCTGAAGCCTTAGTAACTTCACACGACCAAGCTCACACTAATTCTGGTGAAAACATAGCGACAAGAGCGAAAGTAGTTTCGAATCTCTGCCGTGACCATAAAAATGCAGACTTCTTATTGGTGGACCAATGGGAAAGACAAATGTATTCATACTGAGAATTCAGCGGGTTCGATCTCCAAAACGGTTACGGACATACACCGCAATACGTTAAGAGCGCTGCGTGCTGACTTCTGGGCCCTCAACTCGCAAAGTTAACGCAACTTCATTTATCCGTTGCGGAATTCCGTTCCGAACAAGAACCTTCTGTGAAGAATTAAACCCAAGTTTCGGTGATTCGACGTAGAGATTTTAAACAAGGGAAATAAACCGGCGACTACTAAGCAAAGAGGGACTCCAAGTTTGTGTTCGACTCCATATCAAAGACATCAAATTAAGGTTCTAGTACTGAGTAAACAATATTTCGATTTATTCTTTATTTGACCGGGGGGGGGGGCTTACCGCTTGTTTCTCCAACTTCTTGAGAAACCGAAAATTCTGCAGTTACTCAAGAATTTTTCACAATTTTATGGAACCCGAAGGTTCATTACCGTGTTCACAAGAGCCCTCAACTGCTTACTATCCTGAGCCAGTTCAATCCAATCCATACCATCCCATCCTATCTCTCTAGAATCTATTTTAATATTATTCACCCACCTACGTCTTGGTGTTCCCAGTGGTTTCTTTCCTTCTGGCTTTCCCACCAATATCCTATATGCATTTCTGTTCTCCCCCATCCGTGAGTTCTCATTCACTAGCCGACAGATACTGAGATACCTATCCGCCTCTCCTCTACCACCCACCACTACGCCGAAACTCCCCCAAGGAGCTGAAAGACGGAAGCTCCGGTAAATATAAATTAAAATCGAATGAAGTTCAGGAGGACGGTTAGAGGGCAAATGTCTGATGCTGTACTTACATGCGAATTCAGATCAACTCAGATGGGTGGTAGGATTACTTACCGGACACTGCCACCTAAAAGGACACCTTTCCAAGTTGGGACTGACAGGTAACCCAACGTGTGAAAGGTGCCTACAAGAAGACGAATCAGCTACACACATCCTGTGTGACTGTGAGGCCGCAGCTCACACAAGATTTCGTCACTTGGGTCACTTCTTATGGAACCAAGTGATTTTTATGACGCCCCCATAAGCAGGGTCCTACACCTTATTAAAAGTGTAGGATCAATAAAGGGCTAATGCATGGGGAAGTACAATAGATCATTGAAGA